AGAAGGACGGTCCCCCGCCGACGGGGCTTCCTCGCGGCCTTTGCCGCTTTAACCGTGAGGGGGGGTGTTTGAAAAAGCGTCCGCCCCGCGCGGAGGTTGCTGGTTCCAGCCCCGGTCAGCGCGCAGGCAAGAATCAACCAGTGGTGCTCAGTACGTGGCACCAGTCCATGTTTCTCTCTCCCTTCCCGTCTTTCTAAAATCAATTTTTAAAAAATTAAAGGAAGAGACGCACTGCATGGTGACATTGAATAGGACCCGAACATGCCTGCGCCTGCCGAGGTGCGGGGAGACTGTGGTCCCGCAGGCACTTGTCCAGCAGATTTGCAAACCTTTCGGGTTGCCCCTCCGTCCCTACCGCAGTTCTGAGTTTCCTTGGCTATTTTCTCAGTGTTGTCCTTTAGCCTGTCGATTTTACTGAATCTGGACAGCCTTGCTTTCCTTCTTTCTCAACTTGCCTGTGTTCCTTTTAATTCCCATTACTACACTTTGACTGAAATTATTTTAACAATGTCAGTTTGCAAATATTTTTTAAGTGAATTAGTAACTGGATCAGTGCAACCAGTTCCACTAGTTTCCCTATGTCTAGTCTTTCCCTGTAACCTATTTACATAACAACCTTGGGGAGAGAATCACCCTTAAAACCCCACTAAAGTGCTTCCTTCATTCTGTCACTTCCACTGAGAAATCTTCAAAGCTTTCTTTATGTGTGCGTGCGTGCGTGGAGTGTGTGAGTGTGAGTATAATTGATTTCAGAGAGAAAAAGGGAGAGGGAGAGAGAAACATCAGCGATGAGAGAGTCCTTGATCCCCGGCCTCCTGCACGCCCCTTCTGGGGGCCCATCCCGCACCCCCGCATGTGCCCTGACTGGAATCCAGCCGCCACCTCCTGGTTCATAGGTCTGTGCTCAACCGCTGAGCCACGCCTGGCCGGGTACAGCTGTTTATTTTAATACATGCCTGTAAGGGACTGTTGTTTACTATTTTATAGCCAACCTCTACTCCTTCCTTAAAATTTTATTCCAGATAGCGGTATGCCCACCTGAAATGTACCCCCAGGCCCCTTTCCTTATAGTAAATTCATGAAGGTGATGCTACCATATGAAAGCTTGTGCCCATGGTTATGGCTGTTCCCAGGAACGCTCTCACGTCACCCAGCACTCCTTTCAACGTCAGCACAGTTCTAAGCTTGTGGGTAGCCAATGATATCTATGTGGAACGTCTTGGGGTGGGAATTCTGAGGAAGCTTCTACAAGCCTACTCAGCTGAGGACTATGCCCTTTTCACCTTCCCCTTTCTGATTATTCCAGCCTGGGATGTGCAGGTGATGGTAGGGCCTCCAGCAGCTGTCCTGGACCATGAGGCAATCTTAAATATGGAAGCCAGCACCAAGATGGTGTAGTAAAAGGTAATGAAGCCTGGGGCCTTATTCACTGCAGAGTGACTGTATCCAAACTTCATACATGTGAGAGAGGTGAAAGCCATTGTCTCGTTTAAGCCACTTATTTTGATTGTCTTCATATGGAACAGAAACTAAACCTATCTGATAAAGTACAATTTTTATTAATAAATTTTTTAATTTTAAAATAAATTCCCACCTAACCCCCCTAAGAGTACCAGTGATTGTGCCCTAAGAGTACGAGTGATTTCTAATAGTAATGGCTAAATCCAGAGGATACTTTTCAGTCTTCATCTTAATGTTTCTGAGGCATTTGACACTGTTGACCCTCCATTCTTGGAATGTTTTCACTTCCAGGCACTAAACTGAGTAGCCCTGACTGCTGGAGCCCGCCGGCAGAGTCGAAGGGTCCTGAGGAAGGGGTGAGGATGAAGAAAAGACAGACACAAAAAAGATGGGATCGGGAGGGCTGCAGCTCATTCCTGTTGCCAGCTGCCAGCCCCGAGTTTATTTTCCCAGCTCAATTTATACAGACACTGTTAATTTTGCTGAATAGCACCCCGCTCCACATTCCTACCCCTTGAGTAG